AGGGGGTGGGGTGGGTTCAGAAAAGCTTCCCTGACTGGTGACTTATGAGCTGAAATCTGATCAGGGGAGGAGGATGGCGAGTGTTCAAGTCAGGGGGAAGAACCAGTGATGGGAGTGCAGGGTGAGCACCACAGGCTTGTGTAACTGGGGGTGCTCACATGGTGCTGTGGTATGAATGAGCTGAAGAGGCTGGGAAACAAAATCCTGTGGCATGTCACTGGGCCTGTTAAGGATTTGTTACCTTTTTTCTAGTAGCAATGGGGACCCATTCATATGTTACAAGTAAGGAGATGACAGGGTCATATTTGAGTTTCAAAAAGATCATTCTGGCAGCAATGAGGAGGAAAGACTGGAAGGAGCTCTATCTAACAGATCTGAGACAGTCACTACTGCAGTCACCCAGGTGAGTGGAATGGTAGGGAATGCTCGATATGCGGGGCACTATTCTAAGTGCTGTGTGTGTGTGTTCATCCATTTAATCCTTACACAAACCCTATGAGATAGGTACTATTTTACACCTATTTTACAGATGGAAATCGAAGCACCCAGAAGTCTAATTCCAGAGGCCACCCTCATGACCACTATACTGCATTGCCTGCAGGTGGTTATTTAAAAATGGAGAAAGTGGGTTCAAAAGCTTTTTGGAAGTAAAATTAACAAGATGATGTGTTGAATATGGGACTTTAGCAACCATACAGGGAAACTGAAGAAAATCAGGTTCAGAATGAGTTACAAATTTGCCTTTGCAGATGTTGAGTTTGACCGGCATGTAAGAAAACCAAGAGGAGAAACTGAGGAGACTGTTGGAGATAGGAATGGGGCCCCACTGGTGAAGAGAGAGGGTGGTTAAGTCACAGATAGGATTGCCTCCCTGGAAACTCTGGCATTTAATTGCAGGATAAGCCTGCAAATGAGAAGGTGTGGCCAGACAGACAGGATTAAAACCAGTAAAGCCAGAAGTTAGTATCATTAAATCCAAAGGAAAAGAATGTTTCAAGGAAGGGTTGAGCAACCACGACAAATGCTGTCAGGGGAGAGGCAAAGGTGAGGGCAGCAAAATGTCCTTCAAAGTTTGTGTCAGGGTCACAGAAATAATTACTTAGAGGAGTCTGGTGTGAAGTGAAGAGTTGAGGGCAGCTGAGGCAGCAGAGTAGAAGGAAGTCTTTCTTTCAAGATAGAATATATTTAATGAGATTTTTTTTTAATGTTGAAGAGAATTATCTAATTGACAGAGTGACTGGGTATATAGAAGAAATAACTGACTGTTAATTTGCTAAAAAGGTAGGAAGATAGGAAGCAAAGCAGGGGGAGGGGGATGCGTCTCAGACAGGCAGATGGGCCTGTACTCTCACGCATCAGCAGGGCAAGTGCAAAAGGGTGAGGGGACTCCAGGCTGAGGCTTCCGTTAGCTCTGTGATAAGGTGCACAGTACCTGCCTGGGTGGGCAGAGATTGCTGCCTCGTATGCTCACGTATTTCTGTCCTCACCAAATCACTTGTTTAATTGAAATGGTTCCCAGAATTGCTTATTTTGGTGGTCCCTGATATTATAAATACATAATTAAACATTACAATGAAATATGAGTATTCCAACTTTTCAAATCTGCTTTCAAAAGAACTGCTGTTTCTATGAAAATTTAGGTTGAAGGTTTTGGGAAAATTGTATAAAAGGCAAGATGCTAAAAATTCCTGTGCATCTAGGGATGAATGAGCAACTGTAAAAGATGGAAAAATACAGTAAAAATTTTTGCTCTGCAAGGTTCTATTCTATTCTTGACCCAATTTTAAGAGAACAAAACAGGAAATCACAGAATTATAAGTCTGACTTTTACCAAAAAAAAAAAAAATAAGATTGAACGCTAATGGATCTGCATGCAGTAAATGAATGAATGAAGGAAGGAATGAATAAAAGCCTTCCCTACCTCAGTGTAGGATGAATATGAACTGAGCAACTTCTAGACTAAGTTGTCGTTAAGAAGGCTTCTATGGTTACAAAGGTGAGTAAGAAGGAAAGGCCCGGCTGCATGCTCAGTGGCTGAGCATCAACCCATGAACCAGGAAGACACGGTTCAATTCCTGGTCAGGGCACATTCCTGGGTTGTAGGCTCGATTCCCAGTAAGAGGCATGTAGGAGGCAGCTAATCAGTGATTCTCTCTCATCATTGATGTTTCTATGTCTCTCTCCCTCTCCCTTCCTCTCTGAAATCAATAAAAATATTTTTTTTAAAAAGAAAAAAGAGAGGGAGATTACATTATGGGTTGCCTACTAATAGTAAGAAATTTGCTATTTGACAGGTATATTTAAAATTTTACTCCTTATAACAACCCTAGGCATTATCATTCTCCTTTAGCAGACCAAGAAACGGAGAGGTTAAATAAATTGCCAACTACCAAGTTCTAGAACTTGGGTAGAAATTCAGTTTTCCTGACATTTTTTATCCTCATATCTAAATTGGCCATTTCCGCTAGCCTTACTACACTTGGACGTATCCTCAAACATGTTCCACCTCCATGTCCTCCACCAGCCACCCATCCATGATTCATCCTCGTCCTTCACCTCCCTTATCTAATCAATCACCAAATCTGTCAAGTTGGCTTCCATCAATATCTACTCAGTTTCCCCTCACTGCCAGCCTTGCACAGATCCACATCACCTTCTGCATGGACTGCTCCAAACTTCCCGCAGCCACATTCTTCCAGGGTCAGTTCTGGGCAGCCTCATTCTTCACTCTGTATGAGTTGAACACTTGGCTCCTCCTTCACGTTCCTTTTTCATTTTGCTTCTAGCACCTTTCTTCCACATAAGTCCCTGGTTCTCTTTCTAGTCCTTCTCAGTGTCCTTAGTAGCCTGTTTTGCTTCTACCAGCCTCTTAAATTTCCATGCTCCTTAGGGGCCACTCCTTAGGTCTCTTATTCTAGCACCTCTCAGCAGATCCTATTTTTTGCCGACAGCTTCAACTACATTCACATACTGATGCTCACCAACTCTGCTTTCAACCATGCCCCTCATTAACTTTGCGACTGTTTAGTATTTCTACCTAGTGGCCTATAAGCACCTCAAATTCAAGTAGATATGCCCCAAACTGGACTCTCCACCTTCAATCCCCGAGACCAACCTCAAACCTACTTCTTTTCTCTATGCATCCCTCAATGTTATCAATCTCAAAGTGATACGTTCAAATCACCCGTCACCTATCCTTCTCCTTCACACTCCAATCTCAAGTCTTACTGATTCTTCATGTCTTCAAATCTCCCATGGTTCTCACTCATTTCCAGTCTGCCACTAGCTATTTTCTTGCTTGGACTACAGTGAGAGCCTACAAATCAATCCTCTTTGCTGCAGTTATTGTGAACTTCCTAAGCCATCTGCACCCAGTCCAGATGCCTGCATGAGTAGCCACTTGATACATGTTAAACAAGTGATTCAATGCTCTCACTCAATTTAAAATATTGCAATGCTCTCCATCACATATGGCAAACACTTCACAGCTTTTGCCATTGTACTTTAGATCTTTCCAGCCTCAAACCACTGTCTCCCATAACATCACTATTCCAGGAATAATCAACTATCTACAGTTCTCCAGACAAGTCACCTTCCTATGACACTGACTTTGCATATGTTCTCTCTTCTCTCTGGAATCCCCTTCTCATCTCTACCAGAAAAATGCCTACTTCTCCCTTTAAGATTTTTAGAGAAACTTTTGCTGTTCTTCTCTTTTTTTCTTCTCCCCCCAACAAAGTTCTCCATAAATAGCATCGTTTTTATAATTGAAGTACTTATTTGTACCTAACAATCATACACTGACCTATAGAGCTGGGGTTGGAGGGCAAGCTGAAAATATTCTCACAGCTCCCAACATTCCTCTTTCATTTTCAGGGAACTCTTTTTTTTTTTAATCCTCACTGATGATATTTTTCCATTGATTTTTAGAGAGGGAAAGACAGAAATATTGATGTGAGAGAAACACATCAATTGGTTGCCTCCTACATGCACCTTGACCAGGGCCTGGGCCAGAGAGGAGCCTGCAACTGAGGTACGTGCCCTTGACCACAATCGAACACGGGACCCTTTGGTCCGCAGGCCAACATTCTATCCACTGAGCCAAAACTCTGGCTCTTTCCTCCTGGTCATCCCAAGAACTTGAGGTAAGTCTTCAAGTCCCTGACGTGGTCTCCAGGGCATGTCATCTTCTCCATCCTAACTTCAGCTATCATGTATTAGTGGCCATGCTGACAGTCCACACCATGGCCCTAGAGTGAGTGGCTCTCAGATTCCCATTTTCTCTGGCTGTAGTGTCAACTATTCAGAACTGCTTCACCTCTAAAATCCTAGTCTGCGCCCCAAACTTCCTTCTATCCATATACACAAATGTTACACTCATTTTATCCTTAATCTCAACCCCTTCCCATTCATCCAATTAATCAGTGCCTTAATGATCTGACTTCTCTTACAACCCAGCCCATATCCCAAAGCCACTCTCTGACAATCTCGAATGACCTGCCCTTTAGAACGCCCCTATCTTACAAAGATGGATCCTGGCACAATCTGTTTTTTACCATCCTTCATTCCTGGCAGCTCAGCACTGCTGGAGCAAAAGGAAAAGTTGGCCTCCAGCCACTACAACTAATGGTTTCTTATCTCAAAGTAGTTTTCAAAGGTATTCCTCAATCTTTTTTCTTGGTTTTGGTCAGTTTTCTCACTCAGTCTTGCTGGTGGTTAATACTAATAAAAATATAAGACATGATCTATGATATTATGAGAAGAAATAAAAAGGCTAAATATGGTAAATGTAATTTAGCTGTAATGCTATATATCCCTCAGGTTCTAAGTCAATTACTTTCATGACACTCAAACTATTACTGCTGTCTTAATTCCTAGAGCTTTTTAGAATTTGAAAAATGAGGTAAAAGATGGAGCACTGGGAATAATGGCTGCTTTCAAATCTCTTTATGTCCAAGGTACCCTTTATAGTTATACTTTATCAATGAAACATACACAACTTTTGTGTTCATTTTAATTTATTCTGTGCGATTTAAAGTAACAATTAAAACATCATATAAACAAACCACAGAGGCTTTAGGTATAGTATTGACCAGTTTTAAAACAAAAACAGTGAATGATCATTCCTCATCTCTAATTTTACATATTATTATACAAAGGACTATTAACACAATTTTAATTCCTTATAAACTTATTTGTCAAGCAGCAAGATGACAATGCGTCATAGCACAGCACAGAATGTCTCCTTTAAGAAACCACAGAAGCAGTATTTGGTGAGTGGTTATGCATAGAACTGACTTGGAGGGTAATATTCAACATTGGCCATAAAACAGGAAGCACATGTACATTAACACATGGAAAATGTAACTTTTATTAAGAAAAAAAATGTTACTCTTTATGCTGTAAGTTAAAAGCTGTAAGATACTTTAGAAGCAGACAATACAAGGTGCTTTCATTCTAGACCCCATAACAAAATACTATTCCATTAGCTGCTTGAGTCTATAATATTTTAGTACTGTTCATTGGCTTTTTTAAAAATATATTTTTATTGATTTCAGAGAGAAAGGAAGAGGGAGAGATAGAAACATCAACGATGAGAATCATTGATCGGCTGTCTCCTGTGCGCCCCACACTGAGTATCAAGCCCATAACCCAGGCATGTGCCCTGACCAGGAATGGAACCATGACCTTCTGGTTTATAGGTCAACGCTCAACCACTAAGCCACACCAACCAGGCTTCATTGGCTTTTTAAGTGAACTTCAAATATAAACGTTTACAGTGAAAATCTAAAGTTACATTGGTTACATGATGTTACATTAAAACATAACTTCAGAAAAACTGACTTCAAAAAGTACTGTATCACTGACTTAAAATAATTTTTTAAATGTTACTTTTAAAAGTAAAAATGCACTACTTTCAAATCACTTAACCTGTTTTGCTTTAAAATGCCGTATTTGTGAAAACATTATTTAATATATTCTCAACTTTCAACAAAGTAACAGTTTGAAGCTGTTTTAAAACCCAGTAATATCTAAAGAAATGGGTCGGCACACCTGTGAATTGGCTAGCCTCCAAATTACATATTTATGTTTCCACCATGAAAACAACACTATAAAATCCACTGAATGAATTCTATTTTTAACTGGACATAAATATTAAAAGCCTCACTTAATAGTGCTACACAAATATTTAGTGTTTTTTGGCATTTAAGTCAGAGTAATGCTACCAATATATTTGATACCTGAAATTTTCACAAGAGTTTCAGAGGCAGAGAGAAAGACTTGGGAATGGTTAGTTGGGAAGGTAATAAAAACAACTGACCAGTCCTCAATTTTAGAATTACTCCTCAAAAGATGGTATACCTGATCAACAACATTGTTAATGACTATTTAGACACGACTAACACTTGACCACATTTTTAATGCTCAGAACTTCTGAACTTTAAAATTAACCACAGGCCAGTCTATCTTCTACTGAGAAACTGAAAATGCCCTTATGAAGTTCCGCTAAATTCAGCTACAAAAGCTCTAAAACGGGTAAAAAAACGAACACTATATCACACAAATAATTCTGCTAACAACTATTTCTCTTTCCTCTTTCAGTGGCCTTAGAAATATGTACTATAGTGAGAATATTGGGGGCAGAGGAGTACAGAGGAGGAAAAGGCTTTAAACAAAGGAATTAGTTTGGAGGATTTTCATATTGGCATCAGTGATTTTACTGTCTTGAGAGTTAAAACATGGTAGGGTGTGAGCTGTTAGTATGCTTTTGACTATATTTCCCCCAAAAATAAAGCAGAACATTTCTTACAATTATTTTTAAAAAGACATTTTTGAAGCATAAATATTAATACCAAGATATATACCTTTACATGGATTAAATTAATTTGTGGATGACACTTGTAGGTTTTGGGGGATTACGTCAGCCATCAGTTTTTAATACTGATACAGTATAGAAGCTCGGCCAACTACTTAAAAGTTGTCAGCAATTATTCTTTAAACCTAAGATATCTATATATATAAAAGCCTAAGCGACCAGACAACCGGACAACTGGCTGGCAGCTATGATGCGCACTGACCACCAGGTGGCAGACACTCAACGCAGGAGCTGCCCTCTGGTGGTCAGTGCACACCCACAATGGAGCACCGCTCAGCTGATAAACGGGCGCCAGCCGCCAGGCTCACAGCTGGTGAGTGCAGCTGGGGTGGTGTGAGCCTCTCCTGTGGGCACTCCCCCTGCATGCCCAAGTGTGGCCACAGTGGTGGGCTCAGCAGGGCCAGGATGAGCCGGAGCGGCGCAGCGCCCAGTCCGGGCTCAGGCCCCTCCCCTGCCGCTTGCCACTTCTCACACTACTTCATGCTGTGCAGGATCGATACAGACAGCAAGCTGGAGCCTGACGAGCTGGCAGGTGAGGCAGGGCTGAGGCGGCGCAGAAGTCCACTGATCCCTGCAGGCCAGGCCGAGGGAACCCACCAGTGCACAAATCCATGCACTGAGCCTCTAGTCCACTATAAAGCAGAATCCACAGTTCAAAATACTAGACTATGAAAGATCTAATTGAATCCTCCCAGTACCAAGAAGATTTTTAGGCTTTTTTTTCCCCCTAACTGATTATCATTTTAATGCAATATTTAGCTGGTAGGAAGCACTAAAATTAATGCATGAAACTTGTGTCATTGTTTTTAATCCCTACATAAAAATAGAAAACGACATCCAATAAGGAAATGAAAATAGAAAGATTATGCCCCACTCTCAGCTGCTAGGGATCTTTCCCTTTCCATATATACAAAAGGCTACAATGACAACAGAAGTGTGCACCAGGAATATCACTTGGGTCAAAGCAAGTAAACTGTTAATTAACAAAACTGTCAGCATGAAGTATGAGGTACCAAACATAATTACACACCATCATAAAATAGTGGTGACTAGTTCTTTAGAAATGAAGGTTAAACATATAAAAATAACTTGAATTAGTAAAATAAGTTGGCTTTACAATTCACTCTTGTACAAAGCAGGTAACAGTAAACAGAAATGTTCTTTAATCCATATCTCTTCCCCAGTAAACCCTCAGTCCAAAGTTCAATGAGGACAAACATGCAGACCTGGCAAGTCAGTTTACAGTAAAGCAGGCATTTCCACCCACTCTCCACTTTCCCTCAATCCTGTCTCTGGGATCTCGCCACTCAATTGCTATTTGTGAAGAAGTGTTTTCTCCACAACACATGCCTTGAGCATGAAGTCCTTCCATACAAAGGGAGTGACTAATCCTACCTCCCTAAAGTAGAAGACAGTTTTCAGATTCCAAAGCTACTCAAGTCTTGAATAGGTTGCCAAAAAAATGTCTCATAGAGGATAGCTATTTTAACATTATAAGAGTTAGAATTAAGTTAGTAATTAACTGCTATCCTAGAAAAAAATAAATGTACAAACTGTTTCTTATTTAAGCTAAGATACCATCACTTGTCAGATGCACCATATTTATCACTAAGGAAAAAACACAGGCCATCAAATTATGACACAATGCTTTCGTATCACATAGAATGTTTATTTTATATTTACTGAAACAGAACTTTTTGAATTAAACAGACTTTTATCACAGTCTTGTGCATATGTAAGTATTATGAAATAAACTGGTTACGTTATACTATAACTTCATACTCTGAGTGCAACTTTTCTGAATCACTTCTTACATCAGTCACTGAAACCTGCCTTCTCCTCACAACAGCCCCCTTGGCGTCTTCAAAAGCATTTCTGGAAAGGAGGCTCTACCACTGTCTTCTGCTTAATGACAGCAGGAAGCTTTGGACAAACATGTTTGACACCTTAACGACAACGGTCCTGCCTGACAGGAATCGATCAAACCAGCCTCTCGCTGCTTTGAGTTGTGTTTCATTAATTCCAAGATTTTGGCAATTTCTCCCACCTTCACTGCAGCACTCAGCGTGTGACAGGCAATCCTTCTGCATGTGTCTCAGTGACAGAATGTCGTACAACTTTACTTGTGGGTGTCTTCCCTTCTTAGGGCCTATAAAGCATTTTGCTGTTGCTTTACAAGAAAATATGGAATTGCAGTCATTCCTCTAGCGACGGATATTTGCTTCGCTACTATCAAATGTATGCCCCACTGCTCTGCTTCCATGCTTGCCTGCATACACAACGTCATTTCAGTGCTGAATCATAGTGAAATCTTTTAGAAGACATTTTTAAGTGCCAATTAAATCTGACACATTTGATAGCAATGACACAGTGATGACACTATGACAACCTGTGAACTCACACACACACACACACACACACACACACAGGCTAGGATAATTACATCAACTATTGCCTGGTTGACAGGAATAGTGAGATGTAGCCCAAGTTCAGAAAAGTTAAAATGTGGCGGGGGGGGGGGTACATTATAGAACTAATAAAATACAGTGTTCAAGCCTGTAATGTTTAACAGATTCACAATAGTGCAAAAACAATAAGCCCAAGAGCCAAGGAATAAGTATATAAGTAAAAGCTAGTAAAGCAAAAGATTATCTTTAACATAAAATTTGTAATGGTCCAATTTGGTTTAAATTCCCTTTATGTTCATATGGCTTACATGTAAATCTTTTTTTGAATTGGACTCGAAGTCCAAGTACAAATGCTCTTCCATATTTTAGCAACTGCAAAGACTGAGGACCGCTGCCTCTCATCAGCCACTCCCACAGGATGACGGTGGGGGTCAGTGGCCTTCCTCAGCAGGCACCCTCCTGTGGCGAGCAGATCTGATCCTGTGTGGAGATGAGGAAGTGTCCTCTTCAGTTTCAGACCCTGAAGGTTCATGATCTCCCTCCTGGGATCCTGTGTCTCCCACCAGTTCCCGCAGAAACTTGAATTTCGATAGAAAAAGATGCCACACAAAATACCAACCTAAAGAGAGACAAAAACATTAAGAATAATTATTATATGTTATTGACAACATTCCAGTTAATTGTGGGGAGTATATTACAAAACATTATTATACATAAAAGTGATTACAAATACACATTTATAAAACAAGTATTTTCTAAGCATTTACTACGGACAAGGCATACAGATAAACTCTGAATTTATAAAGGATGGCAGAAACAGTTTCTACCTTAATAGAATTTAGAATCCAAGCTTAGTCCATCTACATTAAAATTATAATGAGCTTTGATACCTAAGTAAAAGTGTTTATTATATTAAAATAAAATATTTGAGAGCATTTTTCTTGGGAAGAAATAATACACTTTGCTATTCACTTGGAAATTCATACCTCAATACTAATATTGACTAAAAGCAAATTTTCTTCAATGAGAATACAAAAGAAACAGCCTTGGCCAGTGTGGCTCAGTTGGAGTATCATCCCGTATACCAAAAGGATTCGGGTTCAATTCCCAGGCAGGGCATGTACAGGAGGAGACCGATTGGTGTTTCTTTCTCATGACAACAAAGGACTTAGATTACAGTGGTTCTCAACCTTCTGGCCCTTTAAATACAGTTCCTCATGTTGTCACCCAATCATAAAATTATTTTCGTTGCTTCCTACCTGTAATGTTGCTAATGTTCTGAATCATAATGTAAATATCTGATATGCAGGATGGTCTTAGGCAACCCCTGTGAAAGGGTCGTTCAACCACCAAAGGGGTCGCGACCCACAGGTTGAGAACCGCTGACTTAGACTATCACATGGACTTAGTTGACAAAGCAGCAGCATGTTTGAGAGCACTGACTCCAATTTTGAAGTAAATTCTATTGTGGGGAAAATGCTATCAAACAGCATCACACTCTAGAGTAATCGTATATGAGAAGAAGAGTCAATTGATGTGACAAACTCCATTGTTATTTGAGGAAATTGCCACAGCCACCCCCACCTTCAACAGCCTCTGCTATGATCAGTTAGCAGCTATCAACCTCAAGGAAAGACCTTCCACCAGTAAAAGATTATGACTTGATGAAGGCTCAAATGATGATTAGCATTTCTTAGCAATAAAGTATTTTACAATTAAGGTATGTACACTGTTTTATTAGATACGAGAGGCCCGGTGCATGAAATTCATGCACGAGGGATGAAGCAGGGGTCCTCTCAGACCAGCCTGCACCCTCTCCAACCTGGGACCCCTCAGGGGATGTCCTACTGCCAGCAGTCGGACTTCCTCTCACAATCCGGGACCACTGGCTCCTAACCGCTCACCTGCCTGCCTGCCTGCCTGCCTGCCTGCCTGATCACCCCTAACTGCCCCCACTGATGGCCTGGTCACCCCTAACTGCCCCCCCTTGCCAGCCTAGTCACCCCCAACTGCCCCCCCCACTGGCCTGGTTGCCCCTAATTCCCCCTCCTGCCGGCCCGGTTGCCCCTCACTGCTCCCTCACCCCCGCCGGCCTGGTCACCCCACACAGCCTGCTGCTCAGTCATTTGATCGTCCCTCAGTAAGCCCCCTGCCAGCCTGGCAGCCCCATGCAGCCTGCTCAGTCGTCCATTCGGTTGTTTCGGTTGCGACGGTCACTTAGACTTTTATATATATAGTAATGCTATTGCACACATAATAGACTACAGTATACTGTAACTAACTTCCATATGCACTGGAAAACCAAAAATCTGTGTCACTCGCTTTAATACACTATTCACTTTATTGTGGTGGTCTGGAACCAAACCCACAATATCTGATGTATGCCTATAAATGGAACAAAGATGTTTTCTTTTGTGTCTGGCTTCTTTCACTCAGATCATCAAGATTCTTCATCCATGTTATTGCTTGCATTGCTTCATTCGTTTTTATTGCTGAATATTATTCCGTTGTATGGATAAATCACTTTTTTTTAATCCATTCACCAATTAATGAACATAAGGCTAATGTCTAGTTTTTGGCTATTATAAAAAACAAAGTTTCCATCTTTTGGCTGCAATGACAATTTGTGTGTAAGTTTTCACATGGACATACTTTCATTTCTTTTAGGTATATATCTATGAGAACTGCTGGGTCATGTGGTAACTTTGTGCTTAACAATTTGTGAAACTGTTTTTCAGAACAGCTGCATCACTTTACATTCCCACCAGCAAAATGTAAAATTCCAATTTCTCTACATCCTCACCAAGACTTTTATTGTCCACCCTTTTTTATCATAGCCATCCTAGTGGGTGTGAACTGTTTATCCTTGTGGCTTTTATTTGCATTTCCTTAATGACTAGGGATTTGAACATTTTTTCATGTGTTTATTGTTTATTTTCTTAGAGAAATGTCTCTTTAATTCCTTTGTCCATTTTTTTAAAATTGGGTTGTTTTTCTTTTATAATTAAGTTGTAATAGTTCTTTATACATTCTTGACACTAGAACCTTAACAAATGTATGATTTTGCAAATATTTTCTGTCATTCTGTGGGTTATCTTTTCATTGTCTTGATAATGCCCTTGGAACTACAAAAGATTTTAATTATCATAAAGCATAATTTATCATTTCTTCTTTGATTAAATCTAATTTATCTATTTTTTCTTTGGTTGCTTGTGCCATATGTAGGAAACCACTGACTAAACTTAGGTCATGAATACCTATGTATTCTTCTAATAGTTTCAGCTCTTACATTTAGGTCTCTTATCTATTTTAGTTAACGCTGTGTGAGAGAGAGTTCCAAATTCATTATTTTGCATGTGGATATTGCTGGGGCTGACCGGCAGACACTGAACGATGAATGAATGATTATTCTAATATACGTTTCTGTGAAAGAGAGGGCTAAGGCACTACTTGGCTATCGCCTCCAAGTAGCCCTGTTCGCCTGTCTTCTTTAGCTTTTATTGTCATAACAGCTTGAACTAAAATTAATCTTTAGATATAATTAGCAAGGTAAACATCCTTGAGAAAGTATATGCTTTTACAAGGTCGGGTCTTTAAAGACTAAACATTGAAATCCTAGCAAAACACCACGGGGGGGAGGGGGGTCAGGCTTGTTTGGAAAAGTCAAGGTAGGGGCTGCTGCCTTCAGCAAGGTCCTCTCAAAGGCCCCGACCTTTCGGAGAATCCTCCCCACAGACATTCCACCCAAGTCCGGTGCTTCCCCACAGACATCAAGTTGTTCCCAAACAATTTGCTGAAAACACTGTTCTTCCTCCCAACCCCATTAAATTCTCTTAGAAACTTTGTCAAAAAATTAAATGACCATAAATGTTATAGTTTATTTCTGGACTCTCAATTCTATTCCATTGATCTGTATGTCTATCCTTATTGCCAGCACCACACCATCTTGATTACAGTAACTTTGTGTTAAGTTTTGAAATCAAGTATAAGCCCACTAACTTTGTCTTTTACTACACTATTTTGACTAATCTGAGTCCCTTGCATTTCAATGTGAATTTTAGAATTATGTTGTCAATTTCTGCAAAAAAAAAAAAAAAAATAACAAAGCAGCAAGAATTCTGAAGGGAACTGCACTGAATCTGTAGATCAATGTGGGGATCTATACTTTTTTTAAAAATACTTCTCTGTACTTACCAAATTTTTCCACAATGGACACATGTGGTTTTGATAATCAGGAAAATCAGGAGAAAAATCAGAAATTGATAACTAAATAATAAATACTCTGTAGACTTATGTTTTAAATAGCCCAATGCCATTAAGTGGCTTAAATTAATAAAGCCAATTAATGTCAACATATACTAAGGAAAACCCTTATTAACTCTTAGGTTAGTTTTGAGAACCCAATCTAAAAGTTAAAAGAACTCATCTGCCCAAGGTGTTGTGCTACAGAGATCATGAAAGTGAATTTACCATGAAGGAAATTATAGTCAAGCTCAAAGATGAGAGTCTTAACCTCATAAAGATGAAAGATTGCAAAAGTGGCTACAAGGCATAAAATGACCACAAAGAAAAGTAAGGGAGGTTACCAAAGGTCTTTTGACTAAAAAGAAACTACGGTGAAGGGCTGTCGCCACTGGAGTTCCCACCATAAAATACCGTAGTGCCCTTGGGATGATTATGAGAAAGCAAAGTCTCCCAGCATGGAAATCTATAAAAACAAGGAACTGATGATAGCTGTAGGAGTCAGTTCAGGGAGATATAAGAGCACTCAATTAGATCACAAACTCTCTTTCCCAATTTTAATAAAACAACAAACCCCCCCAATTTTTTTAATCACTGTAACAACCAAACAATATAAGGGATTCGATCGTAAAGTCAAAATTGAGAAGGTGATGGCCAATGAGAGAAACTCCAGTGTGGAGCAGCACGTTAAGACCACTACCTCCACACTTACTACTGCCCTCCACACCAGCTACACCACTCGACTCCACATCTCTTTCATTTTTACCCCCAAATATGGAGCTAAGCAACCCTGAAAAGTATGCTTATTTCCCCCTATTCTCCCTGGGTATATAAGGTGTGCAAGGGTAGGGTGGAAAGGGAGCCTGTGGACAGTGACACTGTTTCCCACAAAAAAAAAATCATGATAGAGAATTCCCCTAATATACATATGGAGTTCATCTGCGGGGCAGCCACAAAGAACAAATACCCACTGTGCTTGGTTTTTACAATGGCTACTCTAATGATAGGCTGGGAAGGCAACGTTAAGGGATAAATTGTAGTGTTGATAAGAATTGCTGTAGTGTTCACTACATTAAGGGAAGTTCAACAAGTTGTCCTCTAAGTAAAATGACTAAGTCTTACATAGCTGTAATTTGGGGGAGAGAGGTGGAAGGAAGATGTGGGAGAGGGGGATTTCCATATCACAGTATCTATAATTAGTAAAATCTAATGCTTCTACAACAGATTCTTTATCAGTGTTAAGAGTCTGAACTAGGGACAATACTAAAAATGCCAGGCAGCCCTAGCCGGTTTGGCTCAGTGGATGGAGTGTTGGCCTGCGGACCAAAGGGTCCCGGGTTCGATTCCAGTCAGGGGCATGTACCTTGGTTGCGGGCA